TCTAGGAAGAATAGCTAAACACCGAAAGTCGGTTATTATTCCGGTCCTGCTATATGGTGCCGAGGACTATAATATGAGTACAACTGTTGACTTGGCCTTAGAAATTATCGAAAGGGAAGTCCTACAAAGGATTTATGGTCCTTTGTGACAGCGAATGACAGTTATTAAAGACGCTGAAGGTATATGAGATCTATAGCGACTCTTACGTGGCTGAGCAAATACAGATACATATAGATGGAGTTATGATTTCATACTTTGTCTTGACTTCATGAAAATTCAAAAAAAAAAAGAATTAAATTATGTTGATCATCAAAAATCCTTTAAAATTTGTCTCAACTCAATTGAACAAGAAAAAATTTTTTTTTTTAATTTCCTAGAAATATTTTTAAGATATTTTTTTATTCTTATTATAATTTCGATCACAAAGCAAAAAATTTGATACATTTTGGGGGGAATATATTATATATTCTTATTTTCTTAAGGTTTTGCTTATTTGTATCAAAATCGACTTTCTGAAGGCTTTAAATAATGAAGTAAATTCCATCTGATCTGCTGATGAACAAGTCTGTAGCCGTTTAGTGTAAGAGGCGAGTGTAACCATGGCGTCCTTCCGCAATCGATTTCGGGTTCAGTGCAGTCCGGACTGTTACTGGTTTTCGGTCACAGGGATGTTGGAATTCTCGGTTATCCCTCAGAAGTGCCCCTGGGTCGGTTGTACAGGAGGTGGGTAACGCTGTATTCATAGTTAAAAAGAAAGTTTTTCGCATGTGGATTTTATGGATGATCAACTAGAAGTAAAATTTTGGTAGATATTTTGTTTTATATTCGAGAATATTTTAATTCTTTAAGAGCTTGAACTTATTTCTTGGGAGACCTCTTAAGAGGTTAAATAGAGATGGAATAAAATATTATATAAAATTCTCTTTTGACAACTGTAATTATTTTTTATTTTATGTATTATTATTGTATGTGTTCCACTCATTTTTCTACACGCTTTAGGTACTGTAGGCCGTTTTCTTGGTCATTTGTTGAGTGATATGACACTGGATGTGATTATCTGGCATGACCTCTTTAGTGTGTTAAAATTGTGTATGGTGCCCTCCAAAAACTAAACAGCAACTTACATGAAGTTTTCCAATTACATCAAATAAATTGCGCCAAAGTGGAGAAAAATTTATTGAAAAATGTTTGTGATAAATATAATATAAATAAATAAACTCGTTTTAATAATGTGAAAACCAGTGAGATTATATAATTATATAAAATTGGCACTTTGTAACCGCTGAAGCGATTTTCGGCCGAGGTAAGTTAGCAGAAAATCCTATATTTAAACATTTTTTTGTATTTAAGCAGCGCAATATACCATTGGCAATTTTTGAGATATCATAAAATTAAGATTCATACATTTTCTTTGCACAAATAATTAAATAAATAAATACAATAAATATTTTAATTAGTATTAACATGACATAATTGCTTTCATATTCACAATTTCCACAATGAATTTTGCTCGAAAAGTAAAAGTAATTAAATTATTTGCAAATTTTCACATAAAAACCACTTAAAAACGCTTTTTCTAGTATTTTCCTATCTTCCAGCCTATGAAATTAAGCATCATAAACAATCAAAAATATAGTCATAAAAGCCAAAAACACTTTCTTCCATAAATGTGTGGCAAAACAAACACAAACAGTCGTACGAAAGCTGCCGCCTTTAAACACTCGCAAATAAAAGACTTAAGCGACAAACTCGCCGGTGGGTATGGGCAAAATGCGAAAAGCAAGAGTGTTGGCAAAAAATGCAATAGATAAAAAATGAATAGATATATATACACATGATTGCATGGTTGTATACATACAAAAAAATATGTACATACATACATACATACATTCGTATGTGTATAAATAAATGCATGAACGCATCCATACAGGCATAATGCATGTATGAACAAATATCTATAAGTATGTGTAAATATAGTTGTATGCATGCAATTGCGTTTTCGCTTTCATTAAGCGTATTTTCATCAATTTTAAGTACCTCCCCTCGAAAACAAAAACAACAATGAAGCGAACAAAGAGGCAAACTATATGGCCTCAGTAAGCCATTGTGAGTGCCAGCTAAAGTACACATATATTCAAATTCATATACACACATACATATCTAGTGTCAAGCTAATGCTACACTAAATAAATAACAGTACTGTGTGTAAATATCCACATATAAAGTAAATAAAGAAAAACAGAAGCAAAAAGCGTACAAAAAATTAAGCAACAACAGCACGAGCAATAAGCGCAGCCATCAGCGAACGCGTCAAGCAGCCAGCCAACAGATCGACCAACCAACGCTTAGCAGAAAACGCGGTAAACACCAACAACGATAACGCAGGCACCGCGCAACGCAACGCAGCAGAATGCAAAGACAGTGAATGAAGCAAGCAGCGAGCGAAACACAAAGAAGACAACAAAGATTAAACAAAGGAAATCACAATAACAAAAGTGCCGTAATGGTGGTTGTTTTCACTTAAGAGCGTTAAGAAAAAAAACATAAAATCTACAAAATCCACAAAAGTCACCACCAAACGGCATTAGTTGTAGGGAACTTGGAAATATAAATAAAAAAAAAAGGACTGAAAACAGATGTGAGAGACAATCTCAGAAGACAAATCTCTGAAATTGTCAGTTTGACTTAACGCTTGCAACATGTTGCAGCCAACATATTTCGAAGTGCGACCACAATGTGTTGGATGCGGTAACAGCGTTGCGTTCGATGCAGGTTGGATGTGAAATAGATTTTGTTTGATCGCCTAGTCGTAATAGGCTCAGAGGGTGAAAAATTGTGGGCTACAAAAGAGCTGACACCATTCCGTTTTATAATACGAGCTAACCAAGGTTTTGTAAAAGCTCTCCGTACTTGAGAATTATGTACCTCATCTCTTACTCATCTTTACCAATGCCTCAGTCAAACAAAGTTGTCTTCACTTCTAGAATATTCATTAAAGATCTTCACTAGAAAGCTGAAGCGATTTTCGGCCGAGCTCCTCCTCCAATTTTTGGTTTTGCGTCTTGATATTTTTCCAACAAATGGGGGACCTACAGTTTATACTAAGCTACCTCCGAATGGCTCATGGTTTTTTATGAGGAACTTTATTTCATGCAAGAAATCGGAGGGGTTGACATTCCCTGCCAAGGAGCGACCGTAATTAAACAATTAAGAGTAATTATTTTTTTTAAATTAATTTTCTATAACTTTTCGGATGTTAGTACGATACCAGGATTTGAACCCGATCCCTCCGTATAGCAGTACGCAATGCTAACCTCTCGGCCACCGCAATCGCCATGACTTAAAAAGGTATAAATCGGACGAAACCGAGGCATAATTTCCTCACGTAGCTATCCTTAGGGGATCAAAATACAACCCCTGTAAACTAAGCACTGCTAACTCAGCTGTTCGTGTGCGCCAGCTAACATCAGTGCTCACCCCAGAAATCAGCTTACAGCCTTTGAAACAGCCTCCACAACCAATAATTATTTTTGTCTCTCAAACCGCTCATAATTCAAGTTCGACGCTTATTCACTGCTCCGCCAAGCCAACCTGCGAGCGCAACACTACATGCAACTAACGGCAATCAGCTGCTACTGTTATTTTGCCACCACAAACATACCGTTGCTGTTGTTATCACAACTATCATCACTCGTTGCCGTCTACATAGATCGTGCAAGTACGAGAGTCAAGCGCGCACACGATCACCAACCGCTGCCGAGCGGTGTGTTTTTATTCGTCGCGTGTTGCCTGCAGCTACCACTGCTGATAACTGTTTGCCGGTTTTTAATTCAGTTGCAGCCCATCTGCTCTCGACGGCTCGGCTTGCTGTGTTGCGTTTATGTCTGGTTGCGCATGCGCGCTGCCATATTACCGCTACCGCTATCACTGCCAACCGGCCACCTCGTCAGCAAGCGCTTACTTGAATCTAAAGAAAACGAGTCAACAACGAGTCGCGCGCATTTTATTGGACTTTTGTTGGAGAGTGGTAGTTCGCTGGTTGCTCGCTGAATGGCGCGTTGACGCGTTCACTGTTTATTCGCGCTTCTGCTCGCGTGCTCGTGCGAATCTCTATGTACGCTCGCTCAAATCGCCCGTTTAACGCGCCGCTCGTCCGTATAACTGAATTAAGTATCGCAGCTGTGGTGTGGTTAATGCCGTCGCTGTTTTCTTCGATGTGTCATCGTTCTGTGTGTTGTTTGTGATTTTGTTGAATTTTTTTTTTTTTTTTTTGTTTGCTTGTTCTTCTATTGATTTATTGTCCGGCGTCTCAGTGTTTATCTTCTGGTTAGTCGAAAGTGAAATTAATTGAAAATTGTCATTTAATTACATACAATTTTGACAAGAAAAAGTTGATTTTTGATCATGAAAAGCGTGAATTTATGTGGGAAAAAATAGAAAAATATTAGAAAATTAAAATAAAATATTAGTGAAATGTTTTATGAGTTTTAAAAATATAAGAATAAACTGAAAATTTATACTGAACCGTACAGGTGGTTCAAAAGTGAAATAAAATCGTTAAAAATGTTTACTATGAACCAAAATACTAAAAAGGATTAATAAATATTATATAAAAAAATTAATTGATTTTTTCCATATTTATTTATTAATAATATTGCGTAAATGCATAAAAAATATAAATTAGTTACTTTACACTATTTTACGAATATTTATCGGTGAACCATCTTTTCTTCAAAGTGATAAATATATATAAATATATGATCATTTATTCAAGAAAACAAAAAAACCCAAAAATCATCCCAAAAAAGATTTAGCAAAATTAAAAAAAAATAGTCAAATTTTAAATTTCAAATAAACGAAACCTGAAAATATTAGAGGCTCCTTTATAACAAAATAAAATACAACAAACTATTCCTCCCCCCAAAAAAAGAGTAGTTATATTCTATTGAATATTTGTAAATAAAAAAATTTATAAAAATTAAAATTTCAAGTGCTACAAATGAAATTTAAAAATACTTAGTGATAATTAATTTAAACTTTAACTGCATACTTCTAAGCTACAAGAAGAATTACTCGAAAAAAATTCTTCAAATTCTATAAGAAATTATTGATGAATTACAACATTTATGCGGGAGCATTTTCCTCATTAGTCAAACTATCGGATTTATAAGGTTAGTGCAATTAAAATTATTTACAATACATAATTAATCAGCACATTTAGGAGAGTTATTGGCACCCAATACCGCAAACTAGTCACGAGTAGCTCTATATATGAGCATCATCATAATTTTTAGTAGTAATATAGTAATAACTTCTGCACTTGTGAATATTATTTTCGTAGACTAATTCAATAAATATTCAATTTCTGTGAAGTATAGTTTGAGGCGCAACTTACCTTAACGTGAGCAGGACGAAAAAATTGATGAATTGATAAAGCTAATAAGGGTTTTGAGTAAAGTTTCATTGAGTACTTCTATTTCTAAAAATAATTGTTTTAAAAAATATTATATTTTTTAAAGTACAATGCCAAAAAGTACAATGTATAAAATCAAAGCCAAAACTTAAATAAATAAAAAAAAAAAATTTCAGTGTTGACCTCTATACAGTTTGTAAAAGTGTTTTTAAATAAAAAAAATTTTTAAAGGGTTTTCCAATAGGTGGTGCTTGTTTTCATATTCAAAGAAACTTTTTCCTTAAAAGCTCGATGGTTCCGTTGCTTGTGTGGCACGTAGCGTCGTCTTGTTGAAAGTTAACGGTCTCAATAGCGCAATATATTCATTTTGGTATAAGGTTCAATGACCCGGCAGGCCCATAGACCACACCAAATAGTTACATAACGAAGATGGAGTGGCTCTTCAACAATAAATCTTGGATTCTACGAGCCTGAGATACAAAAGTTTTGCTTGTTGACGTAGCCATCGAGGTGGAAATTGGTATCATCAGTCAATATATTTTTTGCAGTTAAATTTTAAATCGTGAATATCGTATTTTTCACTTGTCAAATTTTAGAAAGTTAGAGCTTCAATATTGGCTTCTACGGGAATAGCAGGTTATTCGAAATAACACCTTTTATTGGAAACACCTTTATTTATACTCAATTTCTGGAAGCCTATCTTAAAAACTTTGAGAAGACGCAGCTTTTGTTTAAGCCACTTTCGAAGTCCTTTCCTCGGTTTTTACTTGGAAAATATTTACAGATTATGTTTCTGTCAGTTATGGTTTCTAAATTAATAAGTATAATTTGACACTTATTTTGACACTCAAAGGCACGATTTTCTGAGATGAAGAGTTTCTCATAAGAGTCTAGTATAAAATAGGTAGAATATAATTTCGAGATATCTTTTCGGTAATAAATTTTCCTATCATCATGAGTCCGATACATGTTCTTCTGTGTTTGGTGTTCGATTAAATATATTTATAACTTAAGAAATTTAGAAATCCCTTATCTTGCCCAGTACGCAAGATAATGCACTCACCAAAAGTTCCATCAATGAAATGACTGCTTCGTTGGCACTGCCTTGTTGTAACGTATGGTCGTCGACAGCAGTATTCTCCAAATCAGGCATCAACAAGTCATTGATCATGGGTCTGCAGTGTGACCCATTGACTACAACATTATGGCTGTCTTCTTTTTGAACAAAAATATAATGGACCAGTGATTCTCTCGGACCATAGAGCATAACGAATGCACTATAATAACCCTAAATGCGAGATTTATATATATTGGCACAACCAGTCAAGTCATCATCATCATCTCATCGCTGAACAAAATTTTCTTGTGAAAATTGGGATCTTGTTTTGCGTCTATTCACGGATCATGCGAAGCTCTTGATAGTCAGTCGAGTACAACTCTGAAAAGAGTTGGATTATGTAAGGGGGAAAGCCAAGATACTTCCACAATATAAGCAATAAAGTGGATATTAAATTGTTCGATAGCTGTCTATCTGAACGCGTTAAGCCCAAAGAATAATCAACGTTCTCTTATGCGGTTTTCGCCACCAAAAAGAATGAATTTTGCGGAAGGCTTACTTGTTTAGCTTGTCCGGAACACTATCAATTGTAAAGAGATAAGTCTGTGCAATAGCAATTCTAAATATTGACGTTAAGATACTTACACAGGCAGGCGACTAAAAATCTGCTTCCATATCAAGAGCTATTACTGCTCAAGAATCTGCCTAAGCTTTATAGTCATTAGAGATGTTTGGAGCATAATTTCAACTAAATTTTTGAGAGATACAATTTTCCCACTCCTTCGTGGTGCAGTTAACTTTACCATCGCCTCAAAATCATCAAGGGATCTTGATCACTTTTAATGTAAAGTGCAAAACCAGTCTTGAAATACACGATACGTTAAGATGTTTGCATAATGGTCTTAATATGCATTCCGAAAGCATTTATTCTTCCGACTACTTTCTCTATATAAAAAACCACTTACTCAGAGCTTGAAATAAATAAGTAATTTTCTTCTCCTTCTTCCATGTAATTTATAGCAGCTTAGGAGCGAAGCTGTGGTTGTTTAGTATAAGAGGCAAATATAACCGCGACCTTCAGCGATTAATCTCATATTCAGATTGGTCACTGTTTTTCGGGCACCGGCCTGTTGGATTTTTCAATTAACCTTCAGGTTGCCCCTCATTCGGTTCGGTGGGTGATATCGACTTTACTCAAAAAGTATTTAAACACTTTTAATTATTGATTTTTAAAAACAAAATAATTGAAAAAAAATCCGGCTTTAAGAAGAGTCTAAAATAAACAGATTAACAAAAACAGCATCTGGGCTCACTGGAAAGCCCTATCTCAGTTTCATTTCTAATATCCGCATGTGTCATCATATGCCACACAGAAACTACAACAACACCAAGAACAGCATAAATATTTATGCATATTGCTAGCAATAAAATTTTTGTAGCAAGTACCTGCCCACGATATTAACTACCGCAAAGGCTTGTCATTGAAAGCAGACGCACCACTGAAAAACCATCAATACTAAAGTAGCAAAGCGTTACAAAAGAAATATGGTTATAAAGATAGGTAGAGCCCGGACTTGGGTGGGGGAGGGCTAACATGCGGCTATTTGCCATGTGTTGTTGACGGGCATAAAACATACATTGCAACAGAGAATAGCAAGTCAAAGACATTACCATGTAAATACACGAACGCCAAGCGCTCGCCAGCCATCCGGTAGCCAGACACAGTCATTTCCGCTTGCTTACCGGCGCGGCAGTAAAGTTCTTGAGTTGAAAAGAAATGCGCTCAATTTGCATGCCAAACACGGCAACGCACTTCACTCAAAGCCATAGCAACATGCGTTGTTTTTGTAAAAAGAAGAAATAGTAATAATAAAAATGTAGACAATGGAAATAATTTATGTTTTTTTTTCACTTGAAGGAAAGGCAAAAATGTTGCAAGAACAAGTGGTCAACTGTTTGGACAAATCATACCTTTGGCATTCTTGAGTTGCTTTTCGTTTTACGGCGTGGTCTTAGTGTGCTACTTTACGGTACTTTCGTGGTACTTTTATTACAGCTTAGGTACCCTTTTGTTGTTCTTTGATTTGGCAGCACTTCTGTGTGGCAGTAAAAAATTGTTGCGGTTTCTCTTAGTAAAAAAAATTTAAAAAAAAAACAAAAAACAAATTTAAAAAATTAAATTAAAATGTAAAGAAATATAATGCAAAAATATAAAATATAATAAAGTTGTTAAAATAAAATATAAATTTAAATTAAATTAAATTAAACAAAATAATTTTAAAAGAAATAAAAAAATATAAAATTAAAGAAACTAATATTAAAAAAAAAAAAACAAAAATACAAACAAATATAAAAATGAAATATTCAAAATTTAATGAAATCAAGCAAAATCAAATGAAATAAAATAAACTAAATGGAAATAAGATAAAATTAAATAAAAAAAATAAAAAACAGGAACGTATAAAATAAAAAAGAAAGTAAATGAAAATAAAATAAGATCAAACAAAATAAAATTAAATTAAATTCTGCAAAAAAAAAATCAAATAACATAAAATAAATAAAACAAAATATAATAAATAAAAATTCCTTAATTAAAATAAAATAAAAAAAAATAAAATAAAATAAAATAAAATAAAATAAAATAAAATAAAATAAAATAAAATAAGGTTAAATTACATACAAACAATAAATAAAACAAACTAAAATGAAATCAAATCAAATAAATTAAGCTCAAATTAAATCTAATCAATCAAAAGAAAAATGAATCATATTAAATCGAATATAGTAAAATAAAAAATATAAACTAAAATAATGTAAAATCAACTTAAATAAAACAAAATAAAATATGAAAAATATTTAATATAAAAAATAAAATCAAATATAAAATAAAAGTCATATTAAATTAAATTATATTAGGTTAAATAAAACAAATGGAATAAAAATAATAACTAAACAAATATTAGATTAATTCAATTTGATTTAAATAAAACGCAATATATTAAAACAAAATAGAATGAAATAAAATAAAATGGAATGAAATAAAATCAAATCAATTGAAAAAATAAAATAACCTTAACAAAAACAATGTTATATTAATTTAATTAAAATAAAATTAAATAAAGTTAAAAAAAAATAAAATAAAATCAAATTAAATGAAAAAATAAATAAATATATTAAACAAAACAAATTAAAAAAAAATTAAAAAAAAAATAACCCTAAATAAAATAAAATTAAATTAAATGAAACAAAATTAAATAAAAAAAAAATAAAAATGAATAAAATCAAATGAATCAAAAATTGCATTAAAATATTAAAAAATTAATAGATTAATTGGAATAAAATTAAATGCAAAACCTAAAACATTAAACTAAAATAAATGGAAATAAGATAACCTAAAAAAATTAAATTAAATTAAATAAGATAAAAAATATATTAATTTTTTTTAATTATTACCAATTACTTACAAAGTTGCTCCTTTCACAGCAGCAACTTAATAAAGCTTAACAAATTGGCTTGTCATATCATACACACACATATATATGCATAATCGTATGTATTATTAATTCTAACGATTTGTAATGAAAGGGGAAAAAACCAGTTCACTTTCTGTCACAATTCCATGAATTGGATCGAACAATAGCGAGAACTCGGCTCATTTATGAAATTAATCTTTACACAGCTACAAAGCAGATTTATTTGTT